TGGATCTTTTGCAAAGTTGAATGGATCTTTTGCAAAGTTGAATGGATCTTTTGCAAAGTTGAATGGATCTTTTGCAAAGTTGAAATGGATCTTTTGCAAAGTTGAATGGATCTTTTGCAAAGTTAAATGGATCTTTTGTAAAGTTGAATGGATCTTTTGCAAAGTTGAATGGATCTTTGCAGGACGAGGCGGAGGAAGAAGAGGAAGAAGAGGGCGAGGCGGCGCGGGAAGAAGTGATGGGTTTCGACTCGGGATCTGAAGAAGAAGAAGAGAAAAAGGGAAAGCGGGAAACTCGCAAGAAGCTGCGGCAGCAGCAGCGGCCTTCAGTGTGCAGCCTCAAGCAGCAAACCGCCCGCCCCGACCGCATCGAAGTCTGGGACACCACTGGTGCAGATCCTTTCTTTTTGGCTTTTCTCAAAGGCCTCCGAAACGTCGTTCAAGTTCCCCAGCACTGGTCCCAGAAAAGGCGCTACTTGCAGTGGAAACGCGGGTTTGAGAAACCCCCCTTCAAGCTGCCGCGTGAGGTTTAGGGTTTAGGGTTTAGGGTTTAGGGTTTGGGGTTTAGGGTTTAGGGTTTGGGGTTTAGGGTTTGGGGTTTAGGGTTTGGGGTTTGAGGTTTAGGGTTTGGGGTTTAGGGTTTGCGCGGCGGCTCCGAGTCGGGTTTACTGAGGCGTTCAAGTTCGCGGCTGCAGCGGGCGGATATAGCAAGGGTTTGGGGGGGCTGCAGCGGGGGTTCACAGCGAGGGTTTGAGTCGAGGGTTTTCAGTAGGGTTTGGGGTGAGGGTTTAGGGTTTAGGGTGAGGGTTTAGGGTGAGGGCTTAGGGTTTAGGGTTTAGGGTTTAGCGAGGGTTTGTGGCTAGGGTTTGCGCCAAGAGCGGATCACTAGGGTTTCAACTGGGGTTTAGTGCGGGAGTCTGCTGCGAGGCTTTGCCGCTGCTCTGCCGCTGCTGCTGCTGCTGCTGCTGCTGCTGCAGCTGCGTGGCTCACCGCTGCAGAGCCGCTGCTGCCGCTTTCGCCCCCGCTGCTGCTGCTGCTGCTGCTGCTGCTGCTGCTGCTGTTTCTGGGCGAAATTGCGTGGTTTTTCGGCGAAATGAATTGTTTTTTTTCGCGCATGCAGCTCACATTGAAGCCACGAAGATTTCGGAAGTCCGAGCAGCTCTTGTGGAAGCAGAAAAACAAAAAACGATGCGGCAGCGCATGCGCGAGAAAGTCCGGCCCAAGGCCAACCGCCTCACAATTGACTATCAGGTGATTTCCACTTTTCGGCTTTTTCCCCCATTTTAGTGCCGACTTTTTGACCCATTTGTGCCAATTTATTTCTCTTTTAATGCCAATTTATTTGTCTTTTAGTGCCAAATTATTTGTCTTTTAATGCCAATTTATTTGCCTTTTAGTGCCAATTTATTTGCCTTTTAGTGCCAATTTATTTGCCTTTTAATGCCAATTTATTTGCCTTTTAGTGCCAATTTATTTGCCTTTTAGTGCCAATTTATTTGTCTTTTAATGCCAATTTATTTCTCTTTTAATGCCAATTTATTTCTCTTTTAATGCCAATTTATTTGTCTTTTAATGCCAATTTATTTCTCTTTTAATGCCAATTTATTTGTCTGTTAATGCCAATTTATTGGTCTTTCAATTCCAACAGTTTGGTGTATTTATGCGAATTTCTTGGCCTATTAATGCCAACTTTGGGGCTTTTGGGCTTTTCTCTGAGTCCTCAAAGCCTTTTTTAGGGTTTCCAAACCCTAAAAAAGGGTTTGTAAGCCCTCGAGGGTTCAAGACGGGCCTTTGTGCGCGATTCGTTGGAGGGTCGGGAAACCCTAATTTAGGGTTTGGGGTTTGGGGCTCTGGCTGCAGGTGCTGCACGACTGTTTCTTCAAACACGCCGTGAAACCCCCCCTCACCAAACTCGGGGATTTGTATTACGAAGGCAAAGAGTTTATGCAAACAAAAAGAAATATAAAACCCGGAAAACTTTCCGACAGACTCAAGGAGGCCCTCGGCATGGGGCCCCTCTCGCCGCCCCCCTGGCTGCTGAACATGCAGAGGTCAGGGTTTAGGGTTTAGGGTTTAGGGTTTAGGGTTTGCGGGCCTAGTCGCCACGGGCGGCGTCCTGCGGGGCAGGGAGGGGCTCGGGGTTTGGGGTTGCGGGGTCGCGGCGTGGGAAGGGTCTAGGGTTTAGGGTTTAGGGTTTAGGGTTTAGGGTTTGGCCGTGTGGCGTGTGGGCGCGTGCCCGGCTCACCCCGACGTGGGAAGGGTCTAGGGTTTAGGGTTTAGGGTTTGGCAGTGTGGCTGCCTGGAGCGTGGGAGGCTGCCGCGCCTGGGGCCTAGGGTTTAGGGTTTAGGGTTTAGGGTTTAGGGTTTAGGGTTTCGCAGGTACGGGCCGCCTCCGGCGTACCCTCGTCTGCGGCTTCCGGGGCTGAACGCGCCCATCCCCGCGGGGTGTACGTACGGCTACCAACCCGGAGGTTGGGGAAGACCTCCTGTCGATGAAAGTGGATCATTATTATTTAAATTAGAAGAAGAAGTGGAAGAAGAAGCAGCAGCAGAAGACCTTGCTGCTGCTGAGGGCCTCTGGGGAGAACTGCCTCCCGACGCGGAGGCCCCGCCCGAGGAGGAGGAACCCGGTACAAACCCTAAACCCTAAACCCTAAACCCTAAACCCTAAACCCTAGGGAGCCGCAGGCGGCAAACCCTCGGCGGCGAGCGCGGGGTCTGCAAACCCGAGGAAACCCTGCCGCACGCGCCCGCGCTGCAGCGCCGCTCCTAAACCCTAAACCCTAAACCCTAAACCCTAAACCCTCGCTTGCGCTGTGCTGCTGTGCTGCTGCTGCAGAGACGGAAGGCCCAGCAGAGGGGCAGCAGGTCAGAGGCCTTCTTTTTGGAGTTTCTTTTTATTTTATTTGTATTTTTTATTTTTTATTTTTATTTTTTATTTTTTATTTCTTTTTATCTTTTTATCTCTTTTTAGTTTCTTTTTTCTCCCTTTTGTCTCTCTTTGTACTTTTTTGTCTTTTTATTTTTATCTTTTTTCTCTTTTTGTCTCTTTGGTAAAGTTCAACTTAAATTCATTTTATATTTTTGATTAATTCTTTTTAATTTATTTTAAAATTCTACACTTCTGTTCAAAGGCCTTAACACGCAGCCAAGCAGCAAAACCCACTCAAGAGCTAGAACTCACAACTCCCGCTGCTGCTGCTGCTGCTGCTGCTGCCGCTGCTGCTGCTGCTGCTGCTGCCGCTGCTGCTGCTGCTGCGCTGCTGCTGCTGCTGCTGCTGCTGCTGCAGCCGACAGCAGAGACGCCGTTTGGGGGGGGCGCTTCGAGCGTGGGGCTGACAAGCATGGGCCTGGAGTCTCCTGCTGCTCTGGAGCTGCAGCAGCAGCAGCAGCAGCGGGGAGGTGTCTCTTCAGTTGCTTCTTCTGGCCCGAAGGCCTACACTGTACTGACACCCGAGGAGACGCAGGTGCAGCAGGGGCAGCTCTTCGGAGTCCGCCACACTTACAGGATTCCCGCGGGGGCTTTGGCGGGGCAGCAGCAGCAGCAGCAGCAGCAGCAGCAGCTGCTGCAGCAGGGGGGCGCCTCGGGTGTACAGACACCTGCCGGCATCGCCACCCCCAGACTCCTCAGCGGCAGGGCCTCCCCCTTTGTTGCAGGGCTTAGAAGTCCCTTCGCTCCTGCTGCTGCTGCTGCTGCAGCAGCAGCAGCAAGTGGCGCCAACACTCCCCTCATGGCCCAGCGCGGAGGAGCAGCAACTCCCGCCGGAGTCACTGTCTCCCTCAACCCCAACGAAATGGGTGAGGCCCCCTGCTGCTGCTGCACTTGCTGCTGCTGCTGCTGCTGCTGCTGCTGCACTTGCTGCTGCTGCTGCACTTGCTGCTGCTGCTGCTGCACTTGCTGCTGCTGCTGCTGCACTTGCTGCTACTGCTGCTGTTGCTGTTGCTGCAGTTGCTTGCAGCAGCCCAGTTGGTTGTTTCTTTAAACCTAATTTTAATTAATTAATTAATTTGTTTTTAATTTATTTTTGTTTATTTTCAGAGCAAGAGGGCGCTTTCACTGCTGACGTGATTCGCCAGCAGCTGCGGCAGCACGAGGAAGCAGCAGCAAGAGCAAAAGCAGCAGCAGGACAGATAGACCCAGCAGACCGTGAGCTGCTGCTGCTGCTTTTGCTGCTTTTGCTGCTGCATCTGTTGCTGTTTCTGCTGCTGCTGGCTCGCAGCTCTTTGTGCTGCGTGCCTTTGTTGTTTTCTCATTTCTCCCCTCCCGTGGTTTCAGGGTTTAGGGTTTAGGGTTTAGGGTTTGTGGTTTGTGGTTTGTGGTTTCAGAGCGCAAGAGGAAAGGAGACGAGCTGCGGGGTGTATCTGCAGCTGCAGCGAAATCGAAGAGGAAGAAGCAGTTCAAGTTTTAAAATATTTATTTATTTATTCATTATTTGTTTGTTTGTTTGTTTGTGGTGTAAACGGGGAACAAATGCTGAATAAAAAGCAGCAAAAAAGCCAAAAAAAGTAAACTGAAAATTCGAAACAGGAAAACTTGAATGGCCGGGGTTCAGGTGTACGTACAGCAGACACCCGGGGAGGCTGGCGGCGGCGGATCTTTTGAGTTTCTTTTTGATCTTTTGTCCTTTTCTCTTCTGTTTGTCCTCAATGGGGAATTCTAGGGACTTTAGAGCCGAAAAAGAAGTACATTTGACGCGAAATGGCGAAGAAATCGCCGAAGATGGACTTTTTATGCTGCCGATCGGCTGGCTGCGCGGCGGCTCGCGAAACCGCGGAAAGCGGCATGTTTAAGGGCAATCGGGGGAAACTGCAGACAAACAAATCCATTTAACACAAATAAACAAAAAGAGGAACTCGATAGACGCAAAAAGATGCAAAAAAGCCGCACAAACCCTAAACCCTAGAACGCAAACCCTAAACCCTAGTGTAGTTGAGACACTCTGGACGCTGCCGCCGCGGTGTCTTCGACTGCTGCTTCCTTTATTTGTCTAATAATCAATTTATTCATTTTCTTATTTATTTATTTATTTATTAATTTATTTATTTGTTTATTTATTTTGGAGTTGTTTCTTTTCGAGTCAACTCATGAGCGCGCTTTGCTGCCGCTTCTCCCGAGGCTAAACCCTCCCAAACCCTAAACCCTAAACCCTAGCAAGTCCGCGTCCTCTGTGCTTCTTGACTCCTTTTAGAATTTAAATTTAATTAATTAATTTATTTGTATTTGCAAACTTTTGAGACTTGCACAGCAGGCACAGGAAAGCCCCATTGCCCGGCGGCGGCACACACCAACCCCACCAAAACCCTAAACCCTAAACCCTAAACCCTAGGCTCTAAACCCTAAACCCTTAGCCTTGACGCTCTCAAGCCCTTGGCTCTTCTTTTTTTGTCTTTTAAACCCTTGGCGACATTGGCGGAATTCGGCGGCTGAGACGCCAGCCCTAAACCCCAAACCCTAAACCCTAAACCCTAAACCCTGAAGCCCAAACCCTAAACCCTCGTTCTAGATTACTTATAGAGGATGAGGGTCACATAAGGGCCCCTTCAAATCCAGCAGTAGCGCCTAGGGTTCCCCGAACTCTACACGCTACACCCTAAACCCTAAACCCTAAACCCTAAACCCTAACAATGGTGCTAGTAAGGAGCCCCAAACGCCCAGTTCCGTCTGGCAGTGGCAGCAGCAACGAAGCGCAGCAGCAGCAGCAGCAGCAGCACCCTAACAAAATCCCTGCTGCTGCCTCATATGTCCGCAGCCGCACAGCCTCAGCAGCAGCAGCAACAGCAGCAACAGCAGCAGCAGCAGCAGCCCGCAACAGGGCTGGAAACGCTTCTACCCGACAGCAGCAGCAGCAGCAACACCATCAGCAGCAGCAGCACCACCGTCAGCAGCAGCACCAACTGAAGCAGCAGCAGCAGCAGCAGCAGCAGCAGCAGCAGCATCAAACCGCCCCCAGTATTATTTCACCGTTACGGGCGCACTCAAGTTCTGCCTCTTCTGCCCTTAAAGATTCTGCTGCTGCTGCTGCTGCAGCTCCAGCAGCAGCAGCAGCAGCATCAGCAGCAAGTGACGCATCAGAGCCACAACAGCAGCAAGAGCCTCTCAAGCGTTTATCTGCTCAGGATGAATTGCTGCAGCCGTACCTGCAGTTGCAGCAGCAGCAGCAGCAGGACGAGGAGCAGCAGCAGCAGCAGCAGCAGGAAGAACAACAGGAAGAAGAATACCAGCAGCAGCAGCAGCAGCAGGAAGAAGAGCAGCAGCAGCAGCAGCAGGAAGAAGAGCAGCAGCAGCAGCAGCAAGAAGAACAGGAGCACCAACAACTACTGCTGCAGCAGCAACTGCAGCAGCAGCAAGAGGAATCTGAGGATGAAGTCGTGGACGGAGTCCCAAGAAGTGCTGCTGCTTTCCGGCAGCAGTGGCAGCAGCAGCTGCAGCAGCTGCAGCAGCAGCTCGGGTGTATGGAGAGCGAGCAGCAGCAGCTGCAGCAGACGGTGAGCTTGGAGCAGCGCTCGGCAGCAGCAATTCGGAGCGCGGCCGCGCTGCTGCAGCAGCAGCAGCAGCAGCGGCAGCAGCAGCTGCAGCAGCAGCAGCAGCAGCAGCAGCGCGCGCAGCAGCAGCACGAGGCCTCAGAGAGCCGCTTTGTCTCCATCCACACTGAAGCAGCAGCAGCAGCAGGAGGGACTGAGCTGCTGCAGCGGCGGCTGCAGCAAACGCAGGAAAAGAAGCAGCAGCTGCAGCAGCAGCAGCAGCAGAAGCACGAGCTGCTCTTCGCCCTCAGCAAAACAGAGTACAAGGCGCGGCAGCTGCAGCAGCTGCTGCAGCAGCTCAAGCAGCAGCAGCAGCAGCAACTAGATGAGCTGCATCAGCAAGAGCTGCTGCTGTCTCTTGCTACTCGCTTCAAGATAACAAAAATCAGCAGCAGCAGCATCACAGGCTTAACAGTCCCAGACCAGCGGCCTGCTGCTGCTGCTGCTGCTGCTGCTGATAGAGCAGCAGGCCTCAATGCTGCAGCAGCAGCAGCAGCAGCAGCAGCTGACCGCAGCAGCCTGGAAGGGGACCTCGCAGAATGCGCGTCCATTGTGCAGCTGGAGTTGCCGCAGCAGCAGCAGCAGCAGCAGCAGCAGCAGCAGCAGCAGCCTGCTGCAGCAGCAGCAGCAGCAGCAGAGCCCTCGGAAGCAGCAGAGCTGCTGTGGCAAGAGCTGCTGCAGCGCTCGCTTGCTGAAGATAGACACGCAGCTTTTGTGCTGCAGCAGATACGAGAGGCTTGCCTCTCCTAAACCCTAAACCCTAAACCCTAAACCCTGAGCCGTCGTAAACCCTAAACCCTAGGCACCTGCGTCTAGCTAGCCACAGAGGCGCTGCAGGTCCTGGCTAGCTGCCAGCTAGCCACAGACCTCGCCAGCTCCACCGCTACAGCTGCTGCTGCTTCTGCTGCTGCTGCTGCTGCTGCTGCTGCTACGGCGCTCTACGCTGACAGGCTGGCCAACTAGCTAGCTAGCCAGCTAGCT